TCAAAGGTCCAGAACCGGACGGGGCGGGGCGGGGCGGGGGGCGGAGGGGCGGGGCCGCAGAGCTCCGGGCTGGCAGGCGGGGCCAGCCCTGCACTTGGGAGTGTGTGCGTCAGTCTGCTGCCTCCAAGCAAGCCACTGCACTGCTGGCTGCAGAGCACAGGCCTCACCATGAAGCTGGCCCTCCTGCCCTGGGTCCTGCTGTTGCTGGCGACAGTCCCCGGCCCTGGGCCCAGGCCCACAGCAGGTATGTCCCCATCCTGCCCTTCTGTCCTCTTGTCTATATGTCCATCTGTCTGATCAGCTAGGCCCTGGGCAGACACCCCTCTGGGCTCAGCCTGTGTCCATCTGTCAGGCCATCTGTGGCTTGCAGGGAGCTGTGGGAAGAAAGTCTGAGGCCATGGGGTCAAGGGGCCTTCAGCAGGGGCAGGAAGTCTGGGCTGAGCCCTCCCCACACCCACTGGGAGCTGGGAGGCCTTTACTGCCTGGGGGGGATGCAAGGTAGACCAGCAGAGACTTTGGGCTACACCCCAAGCTCCAATGGAGAGGGTGACTGCATACAAGCAGCCCCCATACCCAAGCCCATCCCTAGGCGGGATAATGGGTCCTCTTCAGGGTGGGACTGAACTCTAAAAAAAGATCTAGCAGAAGGCCTGAACTCCAGAGCTGAGACCCTGGCCCCAGGCTGAGCTGGGCATCACCAACGCAGTCTCCCTTCTCCCATCTTGCAGGGAAATGTCACCACCATCCTCCTGCCCCTTTGATTTTACTTTTTTTTTGTTGCTGTTGTCTGAGACAGGGTCTCACTATGCAATTCTCGCTTGAGCTCACTTTGTAGCCCAGGCTGGTCTCCAACTCACAATGATTCTCCTGCCTCAGTCTCCCATGAGCTGGGATGACAGGCCTGTGGGCCACCACGCCCAGCACTTTGATTTTACTTAACTGGCATTTCCAAGCCTCTTCCCTGCAGCCCTTGAGCCGTCACAACCTTGGCCAATAAATATTTATTGCCCTTCTTAAGTGCCAGGCACTGCACTTAGTGAAGTAGGCCCATAGGAGTGTCTCAGACCCAGGCCTGGGGCCAGGTGGGATGTGTCTGAATGCTCAAACCCTGCTCCTGTCTCCACCCTCCAGCCCCATAGGGACAGATATCCTGAAAACAGGCTGTACCACAGGTCCCCACGGCCCTTGTGAGAATCCTTGGGCCTGATGTCCACAGCTCTCTGTGGCAGACTTCGGGCTACCCTTTCCTCCTTGCTGGGATCCCTGCTGCAAATGCCACCCCCCGCCCAAAAGAACGAAACATCAAGCCTGGCATGGTGGTGCACCTCTATAATTCCAGCTGAGGCAGCAGGTCTACAAGTTCAAGTTCAGCCTGAGCAGCTCAGACCCTGTCAGGAAGGAAGGAAGGGAAGGAAGGACAGAGGGAGACAAAGGGCTTTGAATATAGCTCAGTGAAATTCCCAGTGATAAAACAAAAACAAAACAAAACAAAAAAAGGGACATTCTTGGCATCCCCCTAAAAGTGAGGCTCTGTGGGATTCAATTGTTGCCCCCTGGGAGAGTAAGATGGGTCAACCTCCACAGGGCACCATTCTTCCCAAGATGTTGAATGGGACACTTAGCCAACACCTAAGCTACAGAATTTGGTGGCTAAGGGTCCGTCCAATCCTGGGGGCAACTCCTAGGTTGGCAGCTTGAACGAGTCAGGCATTTCCCCTTGTCTTACTACATTCTAGCCAAGCACTAGGTTGATTATCTTTGTGAAGATGGACCACAGCCTCTTCCCGCCGTGTCTGTGTGGCGGCCAGGGCAAACCCAGCCAGTGTTCTCCTGGGAAAGCATCCCTCTGAAGGACGTGGGGACCAGAGATGGGCCCTGCCCATGGGGTGGCCGCCCAGCACACTTCTGGGCCAGGTGCTCAGGGCTGTCTTCTCCAGATGCTCAACACAGCTGCTCTCTGCGCTGTGGGGACCAGAACGGGACCTGCTCCTGCCACCCGACCTGCTTAGGCCTCGGCTCCTGCTGTTCAGACTTCCGTGACTTCTGCCTGGAGGTCTCGCCCTCCTCAGGCTCCATGATGGGCGGGAAGGACTTCGTGGTGCGGCATTTCAAGTGGTTCCAACCCACAGAAGGCGTGATCTGCAGGTGGGCGGCCTGAGGGGCTGGACTGCCTGGGTCCCCACACTCCCGGCACTCCCAGCTGCGTGCATGAAAGGGCCCTGGACCTTCTGGCTGGATGGGTGGAGGCTCAACACCAAGGACGGGCAGGAGGGCACAATGACAGCCAGCTAGGCGCGTCCCCTGCAGAAAAGTCGGAAGACTCAGGCTTTGCAAGAGTCAGCTCACACCAGCTCGGCCACTCCTGCCCCCTCCGTACCCACAGGTTTAAGGAGAGCATTCAGATCCTCGGCTACGTGGACTCCTTGGGGCAAGTGCATTGCGTGTCACCCCTGCTCTATGAGACTGGCCGCATCCCCTTCACCATCTCAATGGACAATGGCCGCTCCTTCCTTCGTGCAGGCACCTGGCTGGCTGGTGAGCCCCCGCCTGGCCAAGCCAGTTCAGGCTGTGGGCTCCAGACTCCACCTTCCGTGGGCCCTTGTTCCCACCCAAAGTCTGACCCCATGGGGACTTTCCCCAGTGCTAATCTATGCACACAGAGACCTGGTCCACCCACCTGCTCCTCCAGCAGAACCAGTCCCTTGGGTGGGAGCCTCCCCGGCTCATTCCCAACCCCCTCCCTGAAGTCCCGGCCCAGAGGGAGTGCCGGCTGCAGGGGTCCCAAAGCCAGGTGGGCTGCTGCTTGCTGCTCAGCTCTCCCAGGCCGGGGCCCTACTTCTCCCAGCCTTGGTATCCTTTTCTCCCTGGGGCTTTGGTAAAGCCCATAGTCCACCTGTTCAGATAATGCTTTGTCCTTGGGAGGCCCCTGGAACCTCAGGGCCCCCATCGCCTGGTACCCGGGCCTTCACTCACCCCTCACCTGTCCCTGCCTAGCACACCCTAACAAAGTGTCACAGTCAGAGAAGAGCCAACTGGTGAACGAGACCCGCTGGCAGTACTACGGCACCCCAGGCACCACCACAGGGAACCTCAGTCTCACCTGGGACACCACAGTGCTGCCCACGCAGACCGTCGCCATCGAGCTGTGGGGCTACGACGAGACAGGTGAGGCCGGCCCTGCCCTGGTAGAAGCATCAGGAGGTTTGGACTCCGAGAGATGAGAGAAAGAACGCTGGGTGTGCGAGGAGGGCAGGGTAGGGGTGGCAGCTTCCAGACAGAGAGGGAATGAAGAAAATTCCAGGCAGGAACTGGGGCGAGGAATGTGCAGCTAGCTAGGGGGAGAACAGCAGGAGTTCTCTAAGGCTGAGTGAGGGGAGGGGCATGGAGAGATGCCTGGCTGCTGGGGGCCCCACGTCCTGCAGGCAGTTTGGACGCCTTAGGCCTTGGATAGGAGGTTTGTGCTGGAGGACTGAGGTGGTCACCCAAGCCAGGAGGTTGAGATGGCTTGGTGCTGGCATAGCAGACTTGTGCACTTCCTCTAGTCTGTTGATCCACCTTCTGTCCATCTGCCAGGCTGCTCCTTGCTAGAGACGGGGGCCAGGCCTGTCTCCTGCTCCAGGGGTCCTCAGAGAGTCCGGAACTTACCAAGGCCTTCTCTCCCTCAGGGACGCCATACTCAGGGAACTGGACAGCAAAGTGGTCATATCTGTACTCGCTGGCCACCAACGCCCCCAACTCTGGCTTTTTTACTTTCACCCCCAAACCTGCACTTGCCACCCACCAGAGATGGAGAGTGGGTGCGCTGCGGATCACCTCCAGCAGACACTACCAAGGGGAGAAGTAAGGGCCACGGCGCAGAGGGTGGGCTGGGGGCTGTCTGTGCTTGCTAGAGACGCCCCGGGCCAGGGGTAGCCGACGACGGGGCTGTGTGGCATGGCCCAGCCCTTAGCTACTGCATCATCACCACCGCAGGGATGTGCTGGCAATCTGGACCAATGAGCATGCGCTGGCCTGGCACCTGGGTGATGACTTCCGCAATGACTCAGTGAGCTGGGCCCGTGCACAGTGCCTGGACTGGGAGAAGGTGGAGGACCAGCTGCCCGACTTCCTAAAGGAGCTGCCTGACTGCCCCTGCAACCTGGTCCAGGCCCGGGCCGACACTGGCCGCTTCTTTGTAAGCCCCTGACTCCATTAAGGCCTAGGAAGGGGGGAGGGGCGGAAGAGGGGCAGCCTCCCCCACTGAGGCAGACAAAAGCCTTCAGGAGGTGAGGGTTGGGGTCTAAGGTCCCCGGCAGGGTTGGTTCCCAGGGAAGGAGGAGGGGATGTAGCACTCAAGTGACAGCCACTGGCCACTCTGCAGACAGACTACGGCTGTGACACTGAGCAGAACAACACTTGCACCTACCACCCGGGGGCCGTGCACTGTGTACGCTCTGTGCAGGCCAGGTGAGCCTCTGGACTGGGGTCAGGAAAGAGGGCAGAGGCCAGGATGGGCTGCAGCAGCGCTGACTTGTCCTCACCCCCAGCCCCAGGTACGCCTCAGGCCAGCAGTGCTGCTACAGGGAAGACGGCTCACAGCTCCTGACCACCGACTCCATTGGCGGCAGCACGCCCGACCGCGGTCACGACTGGGGCGCACCTCCATACCGCACGCCACCCCGTGTGCCCACCTTGTCCCACTGGCTCTATGATGTCATCAGCTTCTACTACTGCTGCCTCTGGGCACCTGAGTGCTCCCGATACATGCGGCGGCGGCCTTCCAGTGACTGCCGCACCTACCGTCCCCCACGCCTGGGTGGGTACCGGCCCCAGGGAGGGTCAGATGCGGCCCAGTGTGGGGGAACCACTACCTGACCCTCCACTCTCACCCTAGCTTCTGTCTTCGGGGATCCCCACTTCGTCACCTTCGACCACACCAACTTCACGTTCAATGGGCGCGGCGAGTACGTGCTGTTGGAGGGGGAGGCGGACGGGAAGGACCTGAGGGTTCAGGCAAGGGCGGAGCCTGCGACGATGAACAGTGGTGAGGCTGAGGCCCTGTGGGTGCTGGGTGCCCGGGGTCATCTGGGGTAGGAGGCAGGAGCCAAGGTGACCTATTCTGCACCACCCACTCCCATCAGGCACCCGGGCCCGGGGCACGGGGCTGACGGCAGTGGTCGTACAGGAGGACAACTCAGACGTGGTGGAGGTGCGGCTGGCCAGCGGGTCTGGGGTCCTGGAAGTGCTGCTGAATTCTGAGGTGCTCAGCTTTGCCGAGCAGAGCTGGATGGACCTGAAGGGTGAGTGACAAGCCCCGGGCAGGGTTGGGAGATGCCCAGGGGACTAGTCCCTGGCACAGCATGGCTGGGCAGCTGAATCAGGGCCCTAGCTTGACGTCTGATCTTAATACCTTCACAACTCCAGAGATGCCCATGTCACACCCGCAGGACCTGCTCAGAGCTGTGAGGAACCAGGACCGTGGGATGGGTCCTTGCTACAGCCCAGAGGAGCCCAGGGGCCATCAGACGGCATAGCTCCACTCCTGGGCTGTGCTCCCTTGTCCCATCCATAAAATCCACTGCAGGGAAGCCAGCCCTGCAGGACTGAGGGTGCAGCTTGGAAGTGGTGGCCAGGAGTGGCAGTTTCGGGGTCTGAACCCCTTGCTATGGCTTGCTACCTCAGGGGACTGAGTGAATGAAATGGTTCCAGGAGGCATTGGCAGCTGAATGTGCAGGAACCCGCAGGAAGGGCAGAGGCCTCGGCATCAGGATTCTCGGCAGAGTCTGGGCATCTTGGATCCATCTGGGGTCCCAGTGAAAGCACAGGCAGGGTGGGGTGGAGGTGGGAGAAGGTCGGCATTAACAGGTTGGCCCTGGGGATGCCCTTCCTTCTCCCCAGCCTGCTCTTGGAGCAGCACCAGAGGTTGGGGGACACCAAGGAGATGCCCCTGACCCACCTCCACCTGTGTCCAGGCTTGTTCCTGTCGGCAGCTGGTGAGGAAAAAGTATCCATCATGTTGTCATCGGGGGCTGGCCTGGAGGTCAGCGTACAGGGCCCTTTCCTGAGTGTGGCTGTCCTGCTGCCTGAGAAGTTCCAGAACCACACGCGTGGCCTCCTTGGGACCCTGAATAACAACCCTGCTGATGATTTCACCCTGCGAAGTGGGCAAGTCCTGCCCCCGAATGCCAGTGCCCAGGAGTTGTTCCGGTTTGGGGCTGAATGTGAGTGACCCCCTGGAGTATGCTGGCCAGAGTGGGGGGAGCACCACTGGGAGGAGGCCTGTGGATCACGGGGAGCCCCTAGACCCTTGTCCACTGCTCAGGGCTGTGTCCGCCCGCGTCTGTTGTCTGTCTTCCCAGGGGCCGTGCACAATAGCTCCACCCTGTTCACATATGACTCCTGGTTGCTGGTCGACAACTTCCTGTACCAACCCAAGCACGACCCCAGCTTCAAGCCCCTCCTCTCCAATGAGATTGTCCTCAGCCCTGAGCAGGCAGAAGAGGTAGCTAAGATGTGCGGGGATGACCATTTCTGCAAGTTCGATGTGGCGGCCACTGGGAGCCTGAGCGTGGGCAATGCCACACGGGTGGCCCACCAGACGTACCGCGAGCGCCTACAGAGTCTGCAGCCTGGTGAGGGGGGAGGGGATGGGCACCTTGCAGGGGGACAGGGTGCCCCGGGGCTGGCCAATGGCATGCAGCGGCCAGCAGCTCAGGCTGGTCGTCTGTGCTCTGCCCCCATCCCAGTGGTGTCCTGTGGCTGGCTGGCGGCCCCTTCCAACGGGCACAAGGAAGATTTCAAGTACCTGATGGGCTCCACCATCCGCTTCCACTGCAATAGTGGCTACAGCTTGGCCGGGGCAGAGACCAGCACCTGCCAGGCTGACGGCACTTGGTCCGCACCCACCCCGCAATGCCAGTTAGGTGAGGATGCCCCTTCCCCACGCCCTCTCTTGCCCCTGCGTGCCGGCATGGCAGACAGACCCTCAGCACCTTTGTCCTCTCACCAGGACGGAGCTACACAGTGCTGCTGAGCATCGTCTTCGGAGGCCTGGCAGTGGTGACGCTGGTCGCTGTCATCTACATGCTGCTGCGCCGTAGCAGGAAGAGCAACAGGTGAGACCCCGTCTGGGTGGAGGGCCCCCCACCCCGCGCCCCGTGGATCCCCCAGTCAGTGTGCCTCTTCAGCCCTCTTGGGACCCTGGGGCAGCCGCTGGTTACCACGCCTGCTGCAAAATGCGTCTCTGTTTCAGGACCCTGTGGAGTTCGCATCCCTGAGACCAGAGCACACTTGGGCGGCAACACAGGCTCACGTCAGGGCCAGGACCCAGCCTCCCAGGAGAAGGCTGTAGACTCCCAGTCACATGCGTGCCGAGGCTGTGCTTCCGGATCCCTAGGACTGGGCACCCCAGAGCTGGGTTTTAATTCCTGTGGACCCAAGACCCAGTGCCCGATCTCAGTGCCCAGTCTCATCTCAGCCCTGAGACACGATACTTGCACCTTGCTTTGTTCCCTATATTCCTTAAGGTTATGTAAGTCCTTAAACCTGAGACTTCATACTCTGGAATAATAGCTGTGTTCCTGAGCCCTAAGGCATCAGAAACTCACACTCCATACCTCACACCCTGTAGCTTGGTGGCAGCGACCCTGACCCCTGACAGACTGAGACACTGCTCCCCTCCATCCTGTGGGTGCCCCCATGCCAAGGTGCCTTGGTTCCCGCACCTCCCGCCCAGCCTGAGACCCCAGCTGGGCTCAGCCCCAGGGCAAAGAAAAGCCTTATGACCCCCAGAGGAGCAAGGGCCGCCGTGATGGAAGGAGACACGTTCTGTGCTCCAAGCTTATATTTCTACCTCTTCTGGCATGTTGCTTGGTAACACCCCTGCCCGTGTGTATGAGGAGAAGACAAGATTCGTGTGTCCTTTCCTGGTGTCCTGGCTGTCCTTCTGTACCTCTCTTTGGAGAATCACCCACCCCGTGCCAGGGTCTGAGTCCTGCCTGCTTCATTTCTCTTGATCCCCTGTCACCAGTAACACCCTGAGCCCCAGCTGCATGCGGGGGCTGCACTTATAATCTCAGCATTCTGGGAGAGGTCGAGGCAGGAGGGAGAGCCCAACAGGAGGATCATGAGGTCAAGCCAAGTCTGGGCAATTTAGTGACTTAATGAGATCCTATCTCAAAATAAAAATTACAAAAGGACTGCGGATATAGCTCAAAATGCTGGGTTCAGGCCCCAGTCGTGAAGAAAAAAAAAATTTAAAAAAAAGAAACAGTGACCCCTAGTGGGGCAAGGATGAAGGACGATGTCTGCAAAGGGCTGGGTACAAGGGACCGCGTGGGGTGCTGGAGCTGGGCAGGGACAGACAACCTAGCCAGGCCTGCCCTCTCCAACCGAGGTGCCTGCCCTCTCCCCTGCCCTGCAGCGAGCAGGCACAGCCTGGCCTGGGCCTTCAACCCTGCCCCTGGCACTGCTCTACGAAAGGCAGCTCCTTGGCTGGGAGTCACCGCTAGCCGGGCCACGCCTAAGTCCTCAAGTGAGCGGGGCCCATGTTCTTTAGCTCAGGATGTGCAGAAGCGAGGCACAGAACAGGCCTCGTGCCTCTGCTGCTCCCCTGGGCAGCTCCTTACCCACCCCCTCTGGGACCAGCTATGACAGGAATGCCATGGAGCACAGACCAGGAGCCTCTGGGAGACAAGCAGGGCCTCCCTTGTGGGGAGAGTCGCTGAATGAGAGCCGAGCAGGGTCGCACAGGGTAGGATAGGGTCACACTTGCATTTGAGATACTGATGGAGATGAGGGGCGCAGTGGTGCATGCCTGTAATCCCAGCACTCGGGAGGCTGAGGCAGGAGGATCGTTGTGAGTTCAAGACCAGCCTGGGCTACAAAGTGAGCTCAAGGACAGCCTGAACTGCATAGGGAGACCCTGTCTCAAAAAGAAAAGAAGAAGGAGGAGGAAGAGGAGGGAGAAGAAGAAGAGGAGGAAAAGGAGGAAGAAGAGTAGGAAGAGGTGGTGGAGGAGGAGGAGAAGAGAAGGAGGAAGAGGAGGTGGTGGTAGAGAAGAGGAGGAAAAAGAGAAGAAAAGAAGGAGAAGAGAAGGAGAAGAAGAAGAAGAAGAAAGTAAACCTAGATGGGGACTTGAGCAGAAGCCTCAGTGTGAGCTGCAGTGCTGGGCGTGGCCATACAGGGGCAGCATTGGGCAGGGACAGTGAATGGAGATTGCGCCTCTCCCTGGGAGAGAAGTCGGCCTCCTTCCTGCAGCTGGGCAGGCAGGCTTGGCCGTAACTGCAGCCAGGGTTCATGCCAGCGCACCCCTCCTTACCCGGGAGGGCCCCTAGGTCGCAGCCCAGTCTCTGCATTCTCAGGGTGCACATGCTGCCCTGCACTGACCTGGCACAACTTGCCCAGCTGGGTCACAGGGTCCAGACCCTACCCCCAGCCTTGCCCTTAGGGGAGGGTCCCAGGGAGCGGGAGGAGAGGTGGGCCAGGGTCCGCAGGGCTGCTGGAGGAGGTGTGTGATGGGGCGCCTGTGAGGAAGAAGCCGACAGAAGTTGGGAGGATAGGAGCACCCAGAAGACAGGTGGGGAGGCTGGAGCCGGTGCTCCCTGTCTTTCCCAGACCCCACAGCTCTAGGCTCGGAGCTCTGGGCAGGGTGGGGCTGGTGCTTTCCTTTCTGCAGATGAGGTAGAGCAGGGCTCGGCTCCCACAGACTGAGCTTCCACTGTATCCCTGTGCTGAGCCAGGCCAGGCTGGCCACGTGTCAGTGAGTGAGAGGTCAGTTTCTGAGTCAAGGCTGGACGTGGAACAGGCACCCAGGGAGTCCAGGAGGGCAGGGGCAGCTTCACAGCTCACAGGTATAGCAACGGTTGTCACAGACACATGCAAACCTGAGTCAAAAGGCATGCTGTAAGCCAAGCATGGGGGTACCCATCTGTAATCACAGCACTCAGGAGGCTGAGGCAGGAGAATTGCCAGTTCCAACCCAGCCTGGGTAACTTAGCCACATAGTGAGACCCTGTCTTGAAATAAATAAAAAGGGGTGGGTGACTCAGTGTGAAGGCCCTGGGTTCAATCCTCAGTACCTCGCACGTGTGCACACACACACGTGCACACACACACATGCGTGAGCTTTCTTGGGCTCTCCTCCACCCACCCATCTCCCTCTAGGATATGCCCAGAGCTGTACCTCCCCAGCAAGAGAAGAGAAGAGGTGCCCTAGCTGTGGCCAGGTCCCAGACAGCAGCTTTCCCAGTGCCAGGGGCATTCCCAGTTCCCAGGCTGGGAAGCCCCGCCACCTGATGGGGGTTGGTTCCCAGAGGCCTGAAGAAGACAGCTGCTGCTGGGCCTGCGCAAAGGCGGACAGTGCCAGAGCAGGTGTGGACCCGCTAGAGACACCAAGGGGGGGGGGGGCGGGCTCTGCCTGGGGGAGGTGTTCTGCCTGACAAACGGCAGCCCCGGGCCTCGCAGGCCAGGCGGGAGTGGGAGCTTGTGAGTGGCGCCCTGAGGGTTGGACTGACGACTGTCTTCATCGTGGAACCCTGTTCCTTGCCTCCTGCCCCTTGCACCAGCCGGGGCGGGCAGATGCCATCCAGGGACTTGGGAACAGGTGTCGGGACAGCTGGGCTATCAACAGGAGCCAGCGAAGCACCCACGGGATCCTTGCACACCCCCGAGTGGAGGGATGAAGGGAGGCGCCTGCGCCCTGGCCAGGCCCACGTCCCCAAAGAAGCTTGGGCTGAGCAGGCCCAGCGGTTCAGCCTAGCTGGAGTCAGGGGGCCGAGGCAGAGGGCGGCACCACCTCTCTTTTTGCCGGCCCTGCAGCCCCCTCCTCTGCCCACAGTTGTCGGAGCACAAGGGAGAGGAGGGCCCTGAGCAAGACCGGCACAAAGGGGAAGTGCGGGAAAACCGCAGCCCGCCGGTTCCTCCTGGAAGCCCCACGCTGGTTGGCTGTCTGTGGCAGCCAGACTGCGGCTGGCTTGCTGGGGGGCCCCGTCCTCAGGTCTGTGCCACCTGTCATGGAAGTGAGAAGTCAGGGGGAGCTTCCCCGAGGAGCCTGGCTCCAGCTGAATTTCTAAGGACAAAAATCAGTTAGGAAAGTGATATCAGGGAGGTGCCTGGGAGCCGCTCAGCACCCCATGCGGCTCAGACACACCTCCCAGCTGCACGCTAGGCTGCATTTCCCAGGCTCCCTTGCAGCTGGGTGGTCCTGTGGCAGGGTCTGGGTGAGGCAAGATGAGCTGAGTGGGGCAGACAATTCCAGCCCAGGCCCATTAAACCTCCCAGCAACACCCGCTCTAGGTGCTTTCCCCTGCTCCTGTCGTTGCAAGCCACGCCCCTTGGGTCCCTGCTAGGCTGATAGCATAGAGAATGATGACCCCTCCCATCGCCCCCCCCCCGCATCCCCCCGCCGCCAGCACACTCACACCCCAACATGTTCAGCCATCCGGTGCTGCTCCAGGAACAAAACTGCTTGTAATTCCGCTATAATACATTTGGGGCACATTGGTCGAAGCACTGGGCCCCTCTAATGACATATCAGAGGTGAAGGTGTAAAAAACTGACCTTACCTTTTTTTTTCCCCTTTGTGGCACTGGGGATTGAATTGGGGCCTCACCCATGCTAAGCAAGTACTTTACCGCTCAGTGGCATCCCCAGCTCTTCTAGAATTTTCTTTTTGGAAACAAGCTCTCCCTAAATTGCCCATCCTGGGCTCCAACTTGCCATTCTCCTGCCTCAGCCTCCCTAATAGCTCCCTAATAGCTTGAGAGTACAGGGGTGTGTGTGCCACCACACCCAGCTGGCCTTACATTTTTCATTATGTGGAAAATAAATACTATGGGTACAAAGTTAAAACAATCTAAACCAATTAAGAACCAATTTACTTGACCCTGTCTCCAGTCGGGCATCTTTTTTGCTTCTTCAAACAGCATTGGACTTTGTGAAGAAGCTCAGGTTTGCCTGGAAGAGAAATCCACGTGGGAGACTGGTCGGCTGGTCAGCACGCCCCTTTTCCGCCTCCCTTGGACTCCTCCCTTGACACCCACCCCCAGACCTACCAGAGAGCTTGTGTCCTTCCATAGACGCCGGCATACGGAGCCCTCATATGCTTTGCTTGTTGCCAGGTGGATGAAAACTGGCCAGTGGCCTGTGTCAACTTGGCCAGACTGCGGGACACTTCCCAGCTTCCCCCTCTCTGCATGGTTCTGGTTAGCGTGGGCCTCAAGAGAGATTCTCGCACAAGGTTTGGCAGGCAGAAGCAAGGCGGCACTCGTTTGTTTGTGGCGCTGGCCCCTGGAAGCTGCCTGCCAGCTCCGCTCATTGGTGTGGGCAGAGCCCAGGCCTGCGTGCGACTGTTCCATCTTCCCTGGGATGGGGCTCTGGCGGCAGGGACTCCTGGGCCAGAAGCCCTTGTCACCTATGGCAACGAGAACAAATGTGAGATTCAGCCCACCCTTTTGGGCTCCCACTCACGCTGTGGTTCCAGCCAGCTTTGGAGCCTGCACCCCACTGTATAGCCACCTTCTTTTCCTGACTCCCTGATTTATTTACTGTGGTACCAGGGGCTGAAGCCAGGGCCCTCACCCTGAGTGCGTGGTTACTTTTCTCTCATTGCTGAGACAAAATACCTGATGCCCAGAATTAAGGAAGGAAAGGTTTATCTAGCTCACCATTTGTGGAGGTTTCAGTCCATAATCAGCTGGCTCCAAGGCAGGGTGGCCCACGGCAGAGGGCAACAGTTCAAGGTGGCACAAGACAGCATAGCAGCAAGAGCAAAGGGGGCAAGAGCAAGCCTGTTTTCCTCCCTTCGACTGTAAGCAGGCTAGCCTCACGGGTGTGAGTGTGTGTGTGTGTGTGTGTGTGTGTGTGTGTGTGTGTGTGTGGTAGTACACACACCACCTCTGTGCCATCCTCTTGCACAGGCTTAGGA